AGTTGTATTTATAGCTGTCTGATAAACACATCAGCAGAGGGACTGTGATGTGTTTTTGTTTGAAGTTTTGGATTGGAAAGAAGCAGCTTGAATGAGAGAATGTTTGTGCCTGTGACTACTGGTTGGAAGTGAAGAAATCATAAAACAAGTTAGCATGGGGATGATAAAGTAATGATATCATGAATGAGATAGTTTACTACTGGGTAAGAGCCAAGACAAGTAATGACAGCAACAGAGCCTCCTCCATTTCGAAACCCATCAGCAAGCATTTGTTTGCAGTTTCTTTCTTGTGGAACTCAGACATGAGAGATACTGACAGTAAGATTGTCATTTTTTTACACTGCCTCCACATGTAGTCCTGGTGTGAAGTACGTAACACTTCTTTTTCTGGAGAAAATGCTTTGACTTCCATGTATGTAGCTGATGATTTCTTCTGAGCTTGCAGATGCTTGCATGAGAAGCAGACGCTGGGAGGAAATAGCAGTTAATTAGAGGGATGAGCTGAAGCTCACTTTCATGCCCGAGCCTGGGTTTTTGAAGGAAGGAATGGCTAGAAGGTGTAATTCCCTTCCCAAACCCTTCCCCTCAAGGGCCTCCCAGTTCCAGCTCCCCTGCCATGCTGCTACAAAGGCATGAAGGCATATGCCCACGTGCCTAGGGAAGAACTCCAGGCTGCCCGGCTCTCCTGGCTTCACCCAGCAGGTCTGGGAGCATGGAGAGGGTCTGTGTGTTGTAATGCACCTGTGCCTTCCTTGGAAGCCTTGTGTTTCAGGCTTCCTGACATGTGGCATGGGAACATAGCTATGCAGTGTGACATAAATGGTACGTGGCCCCTCCATCTGATGGGGCTCAGAGGCACCTTGCTCCCATTTTCCAGGATTGTATGCGCAATGGCCTTATAGGCACGAGCGTGAAAAAAAAAAATAAATAACACTGACAAAGCCTTCCTAGCTTGAGAAGGGGAAATCTAGTGCTACTATATCAAATTAAAAAGTAACATCACTATGGAAAGTTCTCAGTGTTCTCCTTAAGTGTGGCTGGGAGAAAAGCCAATACAGAAAAGCTTCTTCAGCTCAGTTTTGTGCACAAAGGCTTTTTTTTTTTTTTTTTTTTTTTTTTTTGTACAAATCTGCCTGTATTTCTGTTTTCCTGTGCTGCTGAAGGAAGTAACATGGTCTAGCACAGTGCTACTGAAAAACCAGCCTTGCTCTATAATGGTGCAGGATTTGTAGCACATCAGCAGGAGTAAGAGTTGGAAGGTGAGTTTTGCCTGAAAACAGCAGAAAAAAATTTAAAGCAATTTACTCTACACAGTTCATTCTTTTATTCTTCTCATTGTTTTAAAACTGTTAAAAATTCTCTATCCCAACAATTACACTTGCTTGGAGTGTGCTTTTGGTCAATTCAGACATGCTCTTCTTCACACTGAAAAGAATTAATTTAATTAATGGTATAAGAAAAAAAAAGATTTAAAATTACTATTTTAAAATTATAATTAAAAATGTTATTAAACATAATAGTCTAGTCAGAGACTAGCTAACTAGGTAAACTGGTAATAACTGGTAGACTGTATCATCTACTATCCTGAAATAATATTTCCAAGCACATCATTAAGAACCTATTAAAGAAGGCAAGCAAATGAATGTAAAAGATTCATAACAAGGCAAAATTACATATGTATTCAGTATTCTCTTGCTTTCCAAAGATGTGGGGGAAGAAACAAAAATTTCTTCTAGAATTTTAAGGATTACTGTTAATTTGCATAAAATTATTTCTTCCAGGGCATAGAGGACCAAAAATGTTCATTTGAGAGCATTGCAGAAGACACTGTAGACATGTGCAGGCAAAACAGCTCGTGGCTGCCAGTTACGTTATGGAGATGATGCAGACCTGGGACATGGAGGCATTGTTACTCCGGTTTTGAAACCAAGACAATGTGTCTCTGGACTTGATCTGCCAAAGGGCTTGAACACCTTCAGGTACCAAAAAAGTCACTCCCAGATGGGCCTTTCAGAGGTAGGGCTGCCATAGAGACTCCATTCTCTCGACTCTTAGCATGTAATCTGAAGAGCTTGGTTGGGAAACCAGGTTCCTGGTGGTTTACGCAGAGCCTCAAAACAGGACCCAGTAGAGTCACATGCTGAGTGAGTAGCTGCTCAGAATTTAGTTTCCTAAAGGTATCATAATCATTTACTAGGATATAACCTAAGTGCAGTCATCGTACCTGTGGTATGCTGGCTGACATATGGCAGCCGGCAGCCAGATTCCGGCTCTTACCCACCCCACGCCAAGCACACAAGGGAGCAGAAAGCTCTGAGGAACCCCAGGCAGGTTTGGGACTTGGTTTCTGGTTACTGTAAGTTCCTGCACAGCACAAAATGCAGGAGTCCAGCCAGAACAGGACCTGCAATTCTGGCCTAGCCCATGGGAGGAACTCCTGAATAGGATGGGAGAAGGTGCAGGGCTGAATAAAGAGTGGTAGGGCTGCAGGTATGTGAGCATGCAGCATTTGTTCCCAGCTCAGGGAAGTGAATGGAGACAGGCCCTCTCCTGCATGTGGGCATGAATCAGTACTGAGTCAGGAGCCACCCATGCCACTGATGCCAACAGTGGTGCTTGCTGCCACCAGTTTTACTGTTAAATAGAGCATTGCGGGGTGTTTCCAATGCACATATACAAGCAGAGCAAGAAAATTTTAACTCATGTAGGAAAATCTTTGGAGGAAACTTTGGAAGAAATGGTTTCTGAGAGGATTACCTTTCAGAGTGTCACCTTACACATGCATTTCTTTTGGATGACTCATCTTGTTTCCTTTCAGCATATGAATCTGTAGGAGTTTACAGCCCTATACAGTCAACTCTAACTCAGGGGGTTAATTGCAGTGGATTAGCTGCATCATGAACCAACTACAATGCATGCAAAAATCATGTTCATGTGGTGCGTGGACCTACAGTTCAGGCAGCTCAAATTCAGGTATTGCTGCACTGCATGATTAATGGTGTCAAGTTCTTCCCCTTTCTTTTCTTGCAATTACCCTGCCTTTATGCAAGTTTGTCATAGAGTTCTCTCCCCCACCTCCAGCTCTCTGCTCCCTCTGGTGCTTTCAGTAGCCCCTGGGGTGCCCCTCAGAGGAAGACATAGGGAGAGGGTCCAACAGAGAAACTAACCCTTTAGCAAATAATCTCGGAGCCCTCTGCAAAGTAATCCAACACCCCCTGAGGCTAGGCATTTCCTCTGCACTGGGATTTTAAGGAACGCCTGAGGCTGCATTTCTTTGAGCAGCTGAGCTGCTCTAACAGTCTGCTGCTTTTGAAAGGAGTGCTCTTATCCCCTGTCCCCTTCATTTTGTGGCTGGCCCTTCTTTCCATGGATTTATTTGGCTCATTATCCCAGAAGACAGCAACCTGCTTTCTTTTTCCTAATTATTTTTCCCCCGTGCTAACGAGGTCTGTCAGCTGATGGAGCTGTCAGATAGCACCGGGGTGGGATGGGTGGTGAGGAACAGGGCTGGGGATGCACAGACAGGGTGACCTAGGGCAGAAGCTCGGCCCACAGGGTGGGAGTGCATCCTTCAGCACTGCTTTGGACTACAACTTGATTACCTTTGAAGGGTCATCCTTTCTCCAGTGATACTCTGGAGCTGTTGCTCCAGGGTGAGACAGGGATGGACCTTAACTAATGGGCAATTTAACACCGAAGGAATGAGCAGAGTTTTTCCAGCCTTCCTGTCCTAGAGCAGCTAGCTGTGTGGTGGGAGAAGAGCCAGGCCAACACAAGGGAGCAGGCAAGAAAAGCAACCAGGGTGGTGGGATAGGAAAAGAAGACCCTGCCCAGGGCTGGCCCCAGTAAGGCTGAACAGCTGGCTCACTGGCAGCTCCCCCCAGCCCCACTTCCCAAAGGAAACCTACCACTGGCTTTCAAAATCCTGAGCACTGAAGCACCTGCTTCTGCAGGCACTAATGACTACAAACTCTACATACACATTTCACAGCACAATGAAATCTGCCCCCCACACGCACTTCAGGGTGCCACAGGCACTCTCACCCCGTTGCTGCTCCCCTGGCCAGCTGCCCCCGCTGCCCCACAGGTCTGAAGTGTGGGACTGGTTGCGTGAGGGCCGATGGGTGAAATTTGGCTGCAGAGAGGCTGTCCACACCCAGGCTGCCCCAGTGCTTTGCTCGGGGCTAAAGAGGCAGTGGCATGAATGTGATCTTTCTCTCGTCAGCAGATTGGTTGATCTCTGAGGAGCTCTGCCTTTTTGATAACCCCTGCCTCTGCTTATATAATTAGTTATGCAATGGTCAAAGAGGAGCCTTGGATGATGCAGGAAGTAGAGCCTGCTAATGAGAATTGGTGTAGATGTGTGATAGAGTCGGAGAGTCAGCTCTGAGCACAGCCTCCTGGGGCAGAGCGGGCAAGGATTGGTGCCCTGTTAGCATGGCTGGCTTAGGACTTTTGCTGGTGCAGGTATGTTGTTTGACCACCTACTTTGGCAGAAAACATCTTGATTTTTATTTCTTCCTGTGCTGAATACACTAGCTTGAGGGTGGAGCTGTGGATAGGTCCTGGGCCTGCTGTTATCAGTAGTGTGGCATTAGGCTGTGAATTGGTGCAATTTTCTGGAGACAGCGTTGCAGGTACAGGAGGAGACTAAACCTCCGTGAAGGCGGATGTGTACGTGACTCTTCCCTAGCATGCAATTTTGGGGTGGAGGGTTAATTTGTGCAGCTGGAAGGAAGAGATCTCTAATCTATGCATCACGTATAGAACAGATTGATAGCAGCTAGCATTTCAAATGTCGGTGATACAACAAGTTTTTTGTTCATGTCTGGCTGTAGGAACAACTGAGTGCATGAGACCATTCATAAGCTGCTTTTGAGGACAGAGTCTCATTATCAAACACAAGCAGTCAAACATTATGAGTCAGTATCTTCTGCCTTCTTCCCCATCTGTCTCCCAAATCAGGAGCAACTTAATCAGAATTTATTAAAATGTAGCACTGGGTTATCATTTGCCTTTTTATTGTAACTTTATATTTTCCCACTTCCCTTCATAATACAGTGCTTTCCTAAATGGACATGGTGATTGTGACTCAGAGATCTGAGCATTTAAAAAGAAAAAGTAATGTATTTCCAAGAAAAACATCCAGCCCCACAGACTTCTGCTTTACAATCAGTCTAAGCAAGTCTCAGAGATATTCCCTCTTAAACACCGCTCACCCCAGCGCTCTGTGTCTGGGCTTGGAGCAGTCATGGTTATTTGTCCCAGCAGAGTCGACAATGTTGCCTCACATCCATGTCAGAGCAATCCCAGTTGCCTGAGCTCTTCTCCGCGTGGAGCCAAAAGAGTTGCCTGATGTTGATGAGGTGGGCTTGGTGAGAGTATCTGTAGGCACTGATTAAATTGTGGGGCCCTTTCTACAGGGGGCAAGGAGCAGAGACAGGAGCCCTGGTTTGGCTGCCCCCATACTGCCAAGGGAGCGCCCCAGAGAGGTGACAGGTGCTGCCTGGTGGGTTGAGCAGGAGAGAAATGCATGATGATAGGTAAATGGTACTCAAAGGGCAGAAAATATGGGAGGATTAAGGCAGAGGTGAAGAGTTCAGGGAAGAGCTGGCGTAGAGGGGACCGGTGCAGCAGCATTGTAACTTTATTATTGCCTTTGCTCTCTGGGGCCCACAATTAACATGCACAGGGAATTGCACACAGTCTGCTGTGCCAACAACACAGCACTGAACCTTGTAACTTGAGCTGCTACAGCATCCCGAAGCTCTTCAAACTCACAAGTGCTGTCTGGGCAGGGGACACCAAGAAGCCCCAGGCAGGTGTCCAAGGCCAGAAGTGACTTCTCTGCTGGGCCCAGAGTGTGTTTCGGGGGAGGACACTTAGCAGGTGCCAGCCCCAGATGTGCCTCCAAGTTTCCCTGAGCTCCTCCAAGCACAGTGAGGACAGGCAGAAGACAGCTGCCCTTCACAGAGGCTGCTCAGGGAGGATGGTGCTACCTCTTGCTGCCTTGAGACAGGCAGATGCTAGGGCTGTGGCGTTAGGCAGGAGCTGCTGCTGTGCCGTGGCGTGTAGTGCTGTTACACAGAGGTGAGCCGTGTATAAATCCACGGAGAAAGATTCCCTGGGTGGAGAAACCTTACTGTCCCCTGCGAGCCCATGGCCTGTACCTGGCATGGTGTCACAGGGGCTGGGGACCACCACGGATTCATCCCCAGATACAGGACCACTTTGCCCTGCAGCCCCTTGGAGGAGGGTTGTCACAGCCACGGCAGGGAAGGCAGAGGAGCAGGGATGACCGCCCCTCCATGCTGGGGCATGGGTGCTGTACCCCCTCACCCCTCATCCTCCTCAGTGGCTGCAGGGTTGGCCCATGGCGGTGCCTGTGGTGATCTGTCCTGCACGGCAGCGCTGCCCATGGCACAGGGTCCCTCAGCTGCCCAAGGAGGGACACCAGCACCAGAAGTGTGTCTGCCCCGTCCTTGCTGCTGGTGAGCCCTCAAAACAGGCCTGTGGAGCTGAGGGGAGTGAGAACAACAGGGGCATCAGGAGGGGTGAGGATAGGTGCTGTGTCTGATGTGGTCTCCTCAGCCTCACTCTCCATGTCATCCAGGCTCTCACTGACAGAGGGGATGATTTGCACCACCTTCTCCTGGAAGTGAACTTGCTTGCGAGGAGCTGGTGGGGCCTCTGGTTGGGTAGGGACTGCTGGTGGCAGGCTCCTGTCCTTGCTGCCTTTCAGGATGCTCTTCATGTGTCCCAGCAGCGAGCGGTGCTGCTCTCTCTGGGCTCCATGGAACGTGTATGTCTGCTCGGTGTCACCAGCGATGGTGGAGGCTGCTGTGGTGGCTGTAGGATCCACATATTGGCCCGCCTGGGGATGTGCCTCTTTGTGCTCTGGGCTCTTGCTCCTCTTGCTCAGCAGGAAGTAGGCCAGGGCGGTGAGCACCAGCATGGAGCCTGGGGAGAAGGGCACATTGGCTGAGGGCTGGCCCAAGGCAAAGTCCTAGCCAAGCAGTGTTTGGTCCAGCTAGCTCAGCATCCCACACATCCCCACCATCTCTGGTCCACTGCCCCCAACAGACCATGTTCCTCCTCTATCAGCACTCCTCCCCACCCCAGCACAAGCTTCTCACCGGGTATGGTGACGTGCCAGACGAGGACGGGATGAAGGAAGCATGCCACCGAGAGCAGTGTGTACCCCAGGAATTTCTGGAAGCTCCCCGGGCGCCTAGCTTGCTTCCAGCAGGCGTGTGCCAGGGAGTCGGGCTCATATCTGGGGAGAGAAACAGAAGTCCTTGTGGGATAAGGCACCGAGTGCATGACAAGAAGATTTGGACCTAACCATGACCCACCTAAAGGTTCAGACCCTTACTCTAGTTCACCAGGAAACCGGTGTGCAACTGGTGTGTTGGTGAGGGAGGGTAAGTAAAGTCTGAGACCTCCTTGTGTTGGGCAGAGGCCAGGGGCCTCATCTGCCAGAGGTCCGCATCTCAGGTGACCTCTCCTTGGCACGCTTGTGCCTACTAGCTGGTAAGGTGTTGCCTCCTAGCTATCAGGGCTTTTGAGTTTATGCAGAAGGGCTCAGCCTCTGAGAAGTGCATAAGTATTTTCTAGATTTTAATTTAAATTTCTGTGCTGTCCCTGGGAGGGAGCTCTGGGGATCTGTCTCTTTCTTCAACCCTGGAGCCTTGCAGGAGTTCACACTGCGTGCTAAGGAGATGCTGCAGACTAGGGTTTGTTGTGCTGACACTCAGCAGATTATGGCACAAACTCAGGTTAAAACACAGGTTTAATTGGCTGCAGACAAGTCCCCACTCACCTCCCCCCTGCCTGAGTGTGCTGGCCATGGCAGTAGGGGCAGGACCTTTGGCGTGGCACTTGCAGCTTGGCTAGGTCTGGTGTTGCCTGTAAAGGACGGGTTGCCTTAGAGAGGGCCCACCAAGGCTGGAGAAGACTGCCCAGAGGCTACTCACGTGAAACACATCTCCAGGAACAAACTGATAAAGAAGAAGCCTTCACAGACAGTGACTGCAACCCCTGAAAAACTGAAAGGTGGAGCTGTCAGGGGGGCAGGGCTGGGCTGGATCATGCTCTGCAGATGGCAGAAGGAGCATAGGGGGCTGGGATTTACTGCCCAGTTCACAACACAGACTGTGTGCTGGGCTCTGAACGCTCTCTGCCCAGGTTTGTGGAGGAAAGACCAAGACCTTCCACCCAGGAGGGGTCAGCTTGCAGCCAGTATCACCTCTGGCCTGTTTGAGTCTGAAGTAGCATGGGGAGAGGATCACTCTCTCTAACAGGATCAGCTTACTCTTCTGAAACCTAACAAAGATCTCAATATCCCAAAGCCTTGGATATTGCTCCCTGCTGCTGTTGTAGGCTAGTTTGGCACTACATATGGTGGAGGGGTCGAGTGTGGCACCCCTACCAGATCTGTCTAGAAGGGCAAAAATACTCACAGCAGATAGAAAGCCAGGCTTTTGAACTGCCCTTGCTGCAGAGTTTCTACCCCCACGCCGATCAGCACTGGAAGAGAAGGCAGGAAAGATGCTGAGTTCAGTCCCTGACTCTGGTGTCCTGGTGGCTGCCAGCATCCATGCCCCGATTTCTTCTCTGCAGCGCTGGTGACTCATGCTGACACACGAACCCCGGGGTCAGAGCAGAGCGCTGGCCTCGACGTGCAGCCCAGGAACCCAACCCAGCGTCACTCCTGCCAGGACAGCCTTGCGGCTGCGTGGGCTGGGGAGAGGTGCTCTGAGGATACCAGCTTCTGGCACCTACAAGAGGTGAGCAACGGTGTCCTGTGTCTCTCCCACCCCCAGCTCCAGCACAGCTGCCATGGGACTTCTCTCCCACCACCCCATCCATCTGTCCCTCATCCCCACGCTTCTCCTAGGCTGGGGAAATCTGCGCCCAGGTCCCCACCATACCCACCAGTCCAGCACCCCACCTCTCCTGCTGCACCCCACACGTGGCTGTAGGGCAGCAGCAGGTCAGGGGAAACGTGCCAGCTGCATTCACGAAGGGCCGTAGCCATGGCATTAAAATCCTTTGCTAGGCAAACAGAAAAAGCTATAACAGGAGCAGGAAGATTAAAAATGAGGAATGAACATCCCCTCAGTGCCCCAGCCAGCACAGCACACTGGGAGGTCATTTTAAGGGGGATTAAGAGTGTTAGCAAGGCTAAAATCTTCCCTGGACTGGCCGTTAGGGGCCAATAGCTTTATGGGATGGAAGCTTTCCTTCAACATCCTTCAGGAGTATTTACAAAATGGCACAGAAATGAAGTGCCTCGTACCAGCTACAGAGAGCTGGTTCACCACTGATCCTGCTCAATACATGTTGGCCACGTCCTCAGGAGCCAGTTGGCTTTGACTGTCTGAGCTGTGCCTTTGCCCCACATGGAGCAGGGGCCATGCTCACAAGTGGGGACGCAGGTGCCAGCGATGCTGGGTCCCTCAGCCCATGGGGTGGGTCAATGCCGAGGGTCTGTGCCTGAGCACACAGTGCTTCTGGCCCAGCCAAACAAAGCCCCACCAGGATGCTGTCATCCTGTTGGTTCTTGTGGTGCCACCTGCAGCTGCTGGTCTCCGAAATGCCAGGGGAACACATGGGACCCATGTGCTGCCCTTCTCCCCAGAGGCTGCCTCTCCAGCCCCAAGAATAGGCAGGAAAATCAGCCTCATCGGAGAGCTGTGAAGGGACCAAGCTGTGTAATCCTATGTGCAAAGAATTGTCCTTTGCTACCCTGTGATTGAGGAGCCTTCTTTATACTCTCCCCTACAAATGCAGAATTCATTCATTCATTCCTTCCCTACAGACAAACACAGAATTCAACAGCTTGGCTGTTGTGCTAGAGTCCCTGCTCTGCCTGGGGAGGTTTCCTGATCTTGCACAGCTTCTGCTTTATCCTCAAAGCTCTTTGGGTGAAGTATCTGCGAAAGCAAAGGGTTGTTTCCAAGGTGCTTGTTTGGGCTCGTTGCTGCCTTGATTTGGATCTTCTCCAAACCATGTGGCTGAAGGCACATGATTGGGAATTAAATGGTTGAAAGCCTGAGAATTAAGAAATAAGTAAGAACTCTCTCCCTAGATGTAGAAATCACAAGGCCTAAAATCTCTGAATTACAGATATGCCCCAAACATGGCAGTGCTTTGTGAGGCTGTTTGATTATTCCTCACTAACTAGCCATGGACAACAGGACTGTCTGATGTCTCCCACACAACAAGCCCCATTGCACTCCAGGGTCCTGTGGGAAGAGGGGGTTACATTTTGTGGGCAACCTTCTGTGTTTGCAAGCAGCTTATGGAGTTGGCCAGGCCTTCTCAGGATCAATTAGTGAGGCTGATGCACTCTCCTCTCCCTTTAATACTTTTATTCCAGCAAAGCCTGTGGGATTCTTTTCTGCATGGTTTCCATTTCATGCATAAACCTCATGCACCTCATCAGGCACTAAACACTGCATCAAGCTGTTTTCTTACCCCCTTGAGACAGACAGAGGAATAAAACACAGGCACCTCCCATTCCTTTGCTGGCCCTTTGGGAAAACCAGGTAGTACTGGGAATGCATCAGAGTGGAGATATGGAAAAGTACAGAGACCAGCTGTACTCTGTGGTGTGTGATGTCTGTGCTCTGGGAGGCTGAGCTGAGAGGGGACTGCACTGCTCATTTCAAGAACTACAGAGAGATGTAGATGATGCACAGTGAGGAAAAGAGAGAAAACAGATGAGAGAGATTATATTCCATTAAGGCACTTCCAAATTGTAAGCTACTTTCAATTTTTGTGTTCTAGCTTTAGTTTTCTGATGGCAGCAAGCTCGTGTTTTCTCTCAGGAGCTTTAAGAGTGAATATGACCAACATGAGGCTCATGTGGGCCAGAGGGGGATGGGGACAGAGAGGTTTACATTTGCTGGTTAAAGTTGTGTCCTGGCTCCTGTCTGTTGCAGCTTCATCATAACGTGCACTTATCTGCTGGGCGTTCGTACAAACTCCAGAACTCAGACCTCAGCCTCTTATCAGCCCTCCAAAGTACACTGCAGAGCACAGCCTCCAGCATTACAGCTGGGCTTCAGCTGTCCTTGGAAACCTGTGCTCTCTTCAGCAGACCTTTGTGCTTTCTACTTGGCCCCTGACTTGAGCAAAGTGCAGCTGATAAAGGAAATGCCATGGTAGGAAGGCCTGCTGTGACCTACCCTGTGCTGTCTGAAATCTGAAATTCCCAGAGTCTGACACAGGTACCCCAGACACCTCTCATCAGGAACCTCTGGCTCACACCTCCAGCCTCGAGGCAAACCAAACCCTTTGATCCCTGCCTTGCTGATGGGGAAACTGAGGCAGAGAGCGCTGCCTGCCCTGCCCTGTGACAGCGAGTCAGCAGCGGAGCCAGCACACTGTGCCTGTAGCCTCTGCCCTGCCTGTTCACCACATCCAGCCGGTGGGTGAGATGGTGATGCTGGCACCGCTGCTGTGACCCCAGCTGCTTCCTGAGCCGGGCAGAGAAGGCAGAGGCTGTGCCACCGAGGCTGGGACCTCTCCATCCTGCCTGGCCCTGGGGCACAGAAGAAATCCCAGCACAAGGAGCTCCCCCGGCGTTTTTGACTCCCACAGAGCAGCCTGCCCGGCTTGTGCAGCCCTGGGTATTTTGCTTTTCAGTCCCACTCACATCATGCTTGTCCCCCTGCATACAAGCATATAATTTAGTTTTTACAAGCATATCATTTACAAGCATATCATTTAGTTTTCTCTCCAATTTGTGCATTAGCTTGTCCTGACACTTACTCAGTGCCTTAAAAGGCAGCAATGAAAAAGAGAGCTTGCTCCTACCTGCTGCAGTGGAGATGCCCAGCAATCGGCAGGCATACTCCAGGGCACTCCAAAACGCCTCGTGCCGCATGGTGAGGAGATGAAGGCGGCAATGCCAGCCAGGCAGAAGCTCCCTCCTCAGACCTCCTGCTGTGTGCGGCGCCCAGTTGCAGGCAGAGCCTTCCGTGCACAGGGCAGGGTGACCTTTGCGAAGGACCAGCCACCTCCACAGGGCCTCCGGGGGGAGAGCAAGCTGCCACCGCTGGGAACCGGTCAGCACTGCTTCCAGGGCTGCGGACACTTGGCTTTTTCCTCCTCGCTTGCCGGGGTTGCTAGCCCGGGGATGATTAATGATTGGTAAGGGGGGGTGCGGCTTTGGGAGCATTTGCACCCGGGGTGCACGCGTGGCCTTTCCTGCTTGGAGGCAGCAGCTCTGGAAGCCCAAGCTGATTACATGCATGTGAAGTCATTAGTGCTGTGCGGCTCCTGGCAGGTTAACCGTTTGTGAGGATGGTGGTGCTTGCTTTTGGCAAGAGAGCAGCAGGCTCCTAGCGGATCGTGGGGCTCCCAGGGTGCCCTGGCCCCGCCGCCTCCTGCTGCTGATCCCCTGCCGTGGGTGCTGCTTGCCAGCCTGTGAGTGGTGCTGTGTCAGGGCAGGTGTGCAACCACAGGAACGAGGAGGTCAGACCTGTTCCCAAGGGTCCTACAGAGCCAGGCTGGCCATGGCAGGAGAGATGTCTATTTGTCTTTTTGGAAACTTCATTATTTCTGTACTGCAGTCACCCAGCTGTTCAGCAGCCCCACAGCCGTTTGCAGTGGGGTCCCACGAGCGTCCTGACTCGTGGAGTGGGGGCAGAGGAGGAGGGCTGTGCATGTACACTCTGGCCTCTTTGTTTTGGCTTTAGTAGATGGCATCAGGGTCCGTGGCTTGCCTCTTCAGGACACTGCCTCTGAAGAGGGGCAGCCCTTGGCATGAAGACTGGGATGGGCCAGTGCTGGCCTGCTCCAGACCCTTGCTACAGACAGAGATCATCCCGTCCCCTGTGGGCAGCACGTACGTCTGGTTCCTGCGGGGCTGCGGGCTCACAGGGCAATGAGTCCACCTGCGGGGCCAGTCACTGCAGCCCCTGCCCTCGCCCTGCCTTCTGCCCGTGCAGACTCAGCACCGGCCCCACACGCGGGTGTTCCCCTTTCCTCCCCTCTGCCCACACCATGGCGCCTGTTTGAAGGAAGTAGGGCTTTAGGGATTTCACAGCTGATGGGTGACTCAGTGGTGTGCCTGCACTTCCTTTTCAAGAGGGATGGACAGAACAAAGGCACACCAGAGGTGCGGCCCCCTGAATCTGAACAGACCCTGCTGGGGTGTCCCGTTCCCTCCCCACTGCCTTCGGGGATGCCCCTGCACTCCTGCTGCCAATGGCTCCAGAAATCACCAAGCTGGCTTAAAAGCCCTGAGACTGCAAAGTGTTTGGATGCCTTTTTCTTTGCTGTCTTCGTATTGCTTTAGTTTGGTTTTTAACATCAATGCGTTGAATTTCAGGTGTTTATTTACAAACACAAAAGCTAGAAAATGGCTTAGGTACATAGACCATAGGAAGGCAATGAGTCTTTCAGGATTGTGGAGAGCCACTAGCCCAGGCTTGGAGAAACTGCAGCCCTGCGAGGTGTCAGCAGCCACTGGCTCTGTAGAGAGGGGCTCCCTGCCCACCCTTCTGTGGTCCCCGGCACCTCCCCTGGTAGGAGACCTGCTGCCAGTGCCAGTGGTGGAGCACACTGGGCTTGATCACCCTGGAGGTCTCACCCCGAAACAAAATGACTTTGAGTGCCCTCGACAGCAAGGTTTCCTTTCTTGCCAAGAACAAGCCCCAGGGTTTAAAATAAATGCAGAATTGTGGGCGGGGTGGTAATGGAGGAACAGAATCCATTTGGGAGAGGCAGATTAATACATTAACAATTTAAACCTTCCATCATTCCCTTAGCTATTGCCCAACCTCTGTCATGGGATTGGGCTTAATCAGCCTTCCTGAGGGTCCTTGTCCACTGCCTGAGGAGTCTCCTGGCCCAGGTGACTTCTCCACTCGCTATTCAGGGGTGCACTACTGCTTCTTTCACTCGAGTGCCCAGGAGGGGGCATGGCGTGAGCAGTACAGACATCCCCAGGTGGCTTTGTACCAACTTTCCTCTAGCGGTTCTTTCCCTCCATTTAGGAATTTTTTAACTAGTTCTCCTGTGAAGCATCCTCACATGAACCTGACCTTTCCCAGTAGAGGTGTCTCTGGTCATTCTGCCTCCTTTCCAGTGGGGAGATGGTACCCTCAGTGAAGCTCTGAGCCATTCGGGGGTTCTTCTGTGCAGCTTTTAGGAGTGAGTTTATGCAGTCGGAAGAGGACTGAGAACTTATGACCTTACAGGGGATTAATAACCTGTAACCAACAGTGCAAAGCCTATGCACCAGCACAGCCTGTTCTGGGAGGCTTGATAGCAGAGGTCCCCACTGCACATTAAGCCACTTTCTTTGCACATAGGCTTGCCATTTGCACACTGGCTGCCAGCCAGGATTCACATTTACAGGCTGCTCCCAGCGATGTATGGGTTGAGCTGGAGGGTTTTATGTCAGGGTTTCATAGCAATGCTAGTCCCCACCTTCATCTCTCCCACCCCACGCTTCGCTTTAGAAATTCAGCAGTGGCACAGCCACCACAGACGTTCTGTGACCAAGGCCACTGTTCAGCGTCTGGGCCATCGGCAGGCACCTTGGCCTGTGAAACTGTGATGCTGCCAGAGCTCTGCGGCAGAGCTTCTGTCAGGGGGCCTGGGGGCACCACGGCCTCTGCCTCCAGGGTTTTGGGTGCTGTACCTTCAGATATTTGTCCCTGCTGGGAATCAAAGAAGGTTTCTGGCTCGCTTCCCCTCTGCATCACCCCTGGTGGTGTGACGAGGTGACCTGCCTGTGGAGCCCCAGGGCCTGGTGCCACCCTGGGGCAGTGCCACGAGCCATGCAGGACGGTTGGATCCCACCTCCAAGGGATCACTGGCCAAACTGCCACAGGCTCCATCTCCCTTTTTCCAACTCCTCCATCCCTCTGGCTCCCCCTGCAGAAACATCCCTAAGACGACCTGTCCCCCAGGGAGACAGCAATGCCTGCCAGCGGTGCAGGAGCCCTGAGGGGTGAGAGGGTGATGGCAGGGGATTGCTTGCCCTAGGGGAGCGTGACAGCCACGCCACGATGTGCTGCATGTGACACCCGATGGCATTGCCGGCAGGAGCACTGTGCTGACATGAAGAAATGCTCCTGGTTTTGTTATTGCTCCGACACATCTCTGTTCCGCACAGGGAAGCCGGGGCACGGAGCAATGCCTGAGCAGCTCAGCCGAGGGCAGCGAATGAATTTGGGACGTCTGCCAGTGAGTCGGCACATCCCAATGGTACCTCAGTAACTCAGCTAAATTGTAACCTAAATAAACATGATTTGCTCACAGGACACGGGGTAAATGCTAAAAGCTGTGCTGTGATGCTGATGAGTAAAATCCACCTCTGCAGAATGGGTCTGTAACAGGGCTGATGCCCAGCCTTGGCACCACAGAATGGGGCTGATGCTCTGCTTGTTCCTGTACAGAGAGGAATTGCACCAGGGGGAAATGCAGTAGTGGAAAAGGAGCTCACAAAGGCATCAAATATTCATGTGCAGTATTTCATAAAGATAGATGGAGAAGGAGTGTTTTATCAGCCAGCAGGAGGAGGGAGTACTAGTAAGTCTCAGTGTAAACAAGCTCTGCGCAGGAGGCTCAGCCCACAGACGTTTATCCATCCATCAAAACCATTTGACTTTTTGCCCTCTTTTCTGGCAAAGGGGACCGGTAACTTCTCCCTGCGTGGGAGCAAACAAGGTGTACGCAGCAGCGATTGACTCACCTAGTGCTTGAGACACACATCAAACAGCCTGCTTGCTGCATTTTGGGGCCCAGCGAGCAATTTATAGAAGGGTTTGCACAGATAAATAACCAGAGAGATTTATGTAAGGCAACACAAAACACATGTTTTTGGCTACAGAGATGAAGAAATAGATGAGGACTTGCAAGCTGTGTAGCTGAGGTTATTTATGTAAATGTTCCTGTTTGGTAGGATTTATTCTGGGTCTACAGCTTACTTGGCACTGCCTTCAAAAGGCTGCAAAGCAAACAAGCACAGCAGGACCCATCACCTCTTTTACTGGGTTGTCTCAAAGGGGTTCGAATGTACAGGTTTAAAAGAGGTTTGTCACAGTATCCACGGGTGGGGGTACTGAGTACTGCAGGATACTGAGAAGCTCTGAGATGACATGAGTACCTTTACCTGACACAGTCCTACATGTGTCTTCCCTTTAAGCAGGCACAGCCTTATACCGATTTACTTGGTTTTGGCTACCACATAGGCCTGCCCAGAGCCACATCCGAGGTTTCTCGATGCAGGGCTCTCAGCGATGCTCTCCTCGTGTGAGTCCCCAGGAGGTTTGCTGCCGCTCCCTCAGTACAAGCCCCCTGAGAAGGGGAAGCTGCCCGAGCAGGAGATGTGATGACAGTTGGGAGCGGATTGTGCATTCCTTTTCCTCCCACACCCGCGTGTCTGGTATGCATTTGTCTTCTTTCATTTACTAGAAACACACTGTGAGGCAGTGTTTTCTTTCGATTGGGAACACTTATTACAAATGAAACATCAGGCGAGGTTGTTGCTCACTAGCCTGCCATGAGCATGATGTGACTGCTGGTTGTCCTACCCCCTCGCTGGCACTGTGCTGCTCATTGACAACAGAATGGCAAAGGTCTGGACTGCCCCTGGGCGGCAGGGTTGATTTTGAGGAATGGCTTCTGAACAGGCTTTGGTACCAAGGAGGAAGTAACTTGTCTCATTTTCTCCTTTGTATTCCTCAAAGGAAATGTTTGGGTAAAAATGGTCACAGTATGTGTTGAAAATAATACTCATTTTGCAGAAATTTGCAGCTAAGATCTGGTGGCAGATGGACAGGCAGCAGCAGACGATCTTCTCCCGTGAACGTGGTCCAGTTGTGCTTGTGCTGCAGCTCATAGCATACCTTAGAGCCAAAATTGGAGTGAAAAACAGAATAAAGTTCTATGAAGTTTTCTTATATCTTTCTCCAACTCCACCACATGCTTTTCTAATAATCTGCAGTTGTTTTTTGTTTTTGTTTTTTAAAAAAAAAAGATGAATGACTTTCAGCCTGTGGATTGTTAACAAGCTCTTTGCTTGGACTGCCTCCCCTCTGCTGCTGGTTGTTTGGAGAATGTTACAAACCAGTGCTCGTTGCCTTCTTTCAGGATGGCAACTGTTCAGAAAGGAGAAGCATTCTTATTTATTCAAAGGACACAGTAATAACTTTCTTTGTGGTACAAACCTTTTTACAGATTGTTCCAGTTAAGAAAAAAGCAACATTTCAGGCACACGGTTATGCAAACAGACCACGTGCCTGAGCACAACGAATTTGTATCTGATCACAAACTTTATTTTGTACCGTGCACTGCCTCAGCTTGCCCAAGTACAGCTTGCTGTTGTGCCCTCCAGAAATTTTGTTGTTTTCAGGTTGTCCCAATACTCAAAGCTGTGATCTGGGGCCACAAATAGATACCATCAGTCATCTGCTAGCTAACATGCATGTATTTGTTCCTTCCCTGGCCTTTTTCATGGCTTCCAGACTACACCTGGAGGCATGGTGTTTAGGATTTTAGAAGCTAAGATAGGCTCCACCTGGGAGAGACAGGTGCAGGGTGGGCTTGACTGGTTGTGGTGGCCTATGGGAGCACAGCAGGATGCTTAAATATCAATGGCAGGAGGTGGGTAAGGTTTGCTGGGAGATGTCTGGGATTTATTCACATGGAGGCAGTACCTCTAAACTGCATGCTCTTTGGGAAGTGGGCTTTGAGATGTGAGAGGACAAGTCCTGCTTTCCTGTTGCTGCTGTCACTTGATGCCTTGGTTGGAGGTATGGGTGCATGCCCACAATGGCTGCGTTGCCTCCTTTTTGCTGCTGGAAGTTCCCATCAAACTGCCCACCTCAAGAGTCTCTTTTTTTCCCCCCCATGCCAAAAGAGCACCTTGCAAGTAGGACCTGGAGATGTCTGGCTCTGAAGGTGAGTATCCTGTCTAGAGAAGAGTGCTACCCTAGGGTCAGAGCACCTGGCACAGCAGGTGGGAGCCCCCGCTGTGCCTGGCTCAGTGGGGAGCCTGGGACTTGGGCAGGCTGCAGTGGGACCCTAGTGGGATCTGGTGCCCCCACTGAAAGACTTTTCCTTCCATTAACATGTTTGGTAGGAATGCCAAGTTCAGTGTATCTCATTCCTTCAGCTATTATGACAGAGCAAAGGGGGTTTTCATAGGCCTGGTGTCAACTCCCCTGCGTCCCAGGCTGTCCCATGGCAGCGAGGACTGTGCTGGGGCCTTTGGGGCCTGGAGCTGCCCTCCTGTGCTGTGGGTGCAGGCTGTGCTGAATTTGTGCTCAGCAGCCTCATCCCCAGCAGGCTTTGTGTAGCTGCTGATCTGTGCAGTTCGTGAGTTTAGCTCTCTGAGCAGCAAGGTCAGTGTGCTGCTTACCTGCCCTGGCTGGGATTGCTCCCTAAACAAACAGCCAGGGCTTGCAGACCACCCGTTAGTCAGCAGCCTGTTTCCATTAGCTGAGTGCTAGCAACCCCCACGCTGAGGAGGCGAATTGCCCCTGTGCCCTCTGATGAGAAGAGCTTTAATTATAAAGAGAACAAAAAGCACTTTTCCACCAGATTTGGTGGTGCAGGGCTCCCTGGCCTGTTTTGTGTTTTGCTGGCAAATTGAGGGACATGAGCAGGGCTTACAGCCCCTTTCCATGGGGCTGCCAGCTCGCCTGCGGTGCTTGCAGGGATGCCTGGGCTGGGCCACTGGGGTGCTGTGGTGAGGAGAGGAGCTGATCCCCCAGCTGCAGATGAAACCCCAGCACTCTGCAGTGGCTCTGCTCTCCTGTGAGGAGCTTTTCCCTCCATGTTGGGGTATCCTGAGTCCCTGGAGGAGCTGAGGCTTAGGGTACTGCTTTCATGGCCTGCGAAGGCTGTATCTAAGTAGTGCCGGCAGATACAAATTTTGCTTACTGCTACTGTTTCAGTGGCTTTAATACCTTCATGGGTTGGTGTGCCAGCATTTTCAGCTAGCAGTTATGAAATTAGTTGTGATAGGATTGTGCATCTCTTGTAGCCTATGACAAAATTTGATTTTAAAAGCTGGATTTTAAACTGTAGTGCAAAATTCAAAGAAAACTTTAAATGTTCAGAAAGTCTGGCAGAAAAGGGAGGTCTTAGGTGGGAGGTGAAATTATTTTAATTAATTTGAGCTCTCTATATAATGGAATAACTTCAGTTAAAAGTTAAACTTTAGATTCATGGCACTTTGAAAAACTCTCAGCTTTAAGAAGGTAACATCACATGAGAATGCTGTGCTATCCTGCTCTAGTCAGAAGCCACCCAACATTAGCTTCCAAAATGTAAAGTGAAGTGTCAGAAAACTATATCTTTTAAGTGACCTAAGCTATGCTGGTGAGATGGACTTGGGGGGGGATTAGCTTCTCATTGGCATGAGGAGAGACAGAAATGGAGACAAGGTTTTGTTCGGTGCTCTGTGACCTTGATAAACCAGGCATCACAAATCACCAGTTCTGATCCAGGACTTCGCAACCCTTAACAGGCAGGAGGTGGAAGTGCCTTATCTTTTGAGGAGATCCTCCTGTTTCTTACTTGCCTGTTAAATTATCAGCTCCCAAAATAGCAATGTATAGTAGCCACATCCATAATTCATAATTAAAACTTCTACTGGTGTTCAGGCCCCACTGTTGCTTTGACCTTTCTGTCTCTCCATGAGCATCTATTTCAAGGGATGTGTGCCCTGCTCCTAGGGGAGAGCCCTGACACTCATCCTATCAAGCTAACAGAAGGTCATACAATAGACATAAAAATATTATAGATCGCTCCCACATACTTCACCCATGGCCAAACACTGTAACAGGGAACAAGCAGGCTTATAGCAGGGCATCCAATAAATCTGGAGAGGTATTAGGCAGAACTGAAGCTGTACAGCTGTTGGGGTGGAGGGTAGGTACATAAGGAAGGTTATGGAAATGAGCCTTATCTTCCCTGTAGCAGTTTGGAAGCAAATCTGTACTTCAGGAATATCTGTAAAAGATGTAAATGTTTCATTTGACAAAAGATATTGCTTGCTATTTATTCATCAGCTGTATTGTGTAGCAATCCCCTAAATTTAGTGAAGTAGGTTTGTAGCAATGCTGTTCTGCTCATTTGCTTTCTCACTAGTGGTTGTATCAGTTAAGGGGCTTATTCCATGTCTGACCCATCTCACAATGGTATCTCTCCTGAAGCCCTGTGCTCCTCCTTGCAATGGTCTCACTGCTGCCAGAGGGGCAGGTTTTAGCTTTGTCACCTGGATCCTGGGAGCAGTGCATAATTCAGCCTTTCTGTACAGAGGATCTGCAATGTGTCCTACGGGCTGTCCTTCTGCTGCACAGCTCCAGCCCACCCTCCTGCTGCTTTGTCCTGGGCTCTGCTTGCAGCAATGAGTGGGCCTGCCATACCTGCTGGCATTGCCAGCCCAGCAGGCAGCCAGGGCACATCTCAGCCCCTGTGGCAGGCCTGGGGGGATTGTGACCTTTCTTATGCATCCCCTATCTGCTCTGGGCTGTAGCCTGCTTCTGTCCTGAGATTGGGTGATTTGGGTGAGTTGTACCCTGTGGGGTGACCCTGGTTGCTGCGCTGACTCCTGCAGTGACACTAGCTTTCAGGCTGAGAGCTGATCCTTACAGGCTTGTTTGAAGTACATTTCCACTGAAGGATGGTCATGGATGCATTTCCCAATGAGTTCTCTGTGTGGTAATTAGCTGGAAGTTGAAGGCGTTGGAAGTGTCTACAGACAATTGACAATTCTAAGAATTTGGTGTGCTTCCGTCATCAAGGGTTAGAGTGCTCATGTGGGCATTGCATGAACAGTGGAGCAGGCTGCCAGGCTGGGTGTGCTGGGGGTGCTGGAGGTCAGGACCTGTTAAAACTTCATCTTGAAGTAAATTAAAGTGTTGGTAATGTGCTGCAGGGTTAGGGTCACATGCAGTCACTAGATTTTTCTCAGGGTTATTTTGCTGCTCTCACACTGAAACTTTGTATACGGGGGAGGGTATGGTGAGACAGGATTCCAACTTTTCCCCTATGAGCCTTTTGGCTAAATGTCAGGGGCTGGGGTGGAGGTGTCAGCCATGCTGTCTGGGAGGAGGGGAGTCTGATTTCCTGCATCTGCATGCTGCTGGGAAGCCCTGGTGCAACTTTGGGGTGCAGTGTGTAAATGAGTAAATGAGTGAGCGCTGCAGTGGTTCTGGGTCCAGGCTGGCCTGTGAGAGGGGTCCCTCTGACCCCTGCTCGCCCACAGGCTGGGCATGAGAGGAAGATGGACTGTGAGGAAGCAGCTTCCCCAGGGAAGTGCCTGCAGGGACAGAAACCCAAAACTTCTGGAGCAGAGCCAGGCATTGATGAAGAAAAAAAGCTAACTTCCCCTTGTGGAGCTCATAGTACAGGAAGCGTGGCCGCCTGGGATGTATAAACATAGGCATGGTAACTCAGTGCTGCGCTTGTCTGAGAACTCCCCAGATCCAGGGTCTCTCTGTTAAGGTTGGTGGTGGTAGTGGGGAATGGACTGGTCCTATGGCTTCTTCCACTCCATCCCCCCAGTGTGCTCCCAGTGTGTAGGTGAAGGGCAGTGGTATAAAATAACTGGCATGAGCTTTCACCTGGTTCCTTTGGCTTTCCACATGGCCTGGGATGGTCAGCATGGTTCTGTGCCAGTTTCCACAGGGGTATAAGCTATTGCTTCAAACTTCTGTGAGGCAGTTTGGTGTAGCCAAGTGAGAAAAGATATTGGGATGTGTCAATGCCAAATACAATTAGACTGTCACTCGCAGCTGTGATCTCTAACTGCTTATGGTGCAATATGCACACAGCACTTGGCATGGACTTGCTGATGGTAGGAGTCTGGTGGGTGGAAATTGCTTGAAGAACCCATATGGCTCCTTAGGCTTTATTTGGCTATTCCAACAAGAGGTCTGTGCCTTTAGGAAGGTGGTGCCAGAGATGTTCCAAGCAGATTTAAGTAGATAGCTTTCTTGCATGAAGAAAACATCTGGAGTAGAAATCCAGAAGACCCCAGCTGCAGAAGTAACATCTAGGATATATGCAAAGTGTTCTGCTTTTATTTCCAAGAGTCTTTTGTTGTAGTAATTGTTATTCAAGTGTTTTTTTCTCACCATGCTTTAAGGAGTGGCTCAACGCAAAACACTGTCCTTCCAAATGAAGGAGCAGCTATGTGTGCTAGCTGGGTTGCTTGGTTTTCTGTTCCAGGAAAAGGGGAACCCTAGTGCTCAGCTGTTCCTAAAACATTGCTGCTGAATAAAACCTAACAGACACAGCAGGACTTTTGAAGCAGACAACTGTGGGGTTGAGATCTTTTCCCTCACACAGCTCAGCACCTGTGTGTTCACAGCTGGCAAGGCAGGGTCTCAGCTGTGCTCAAACTCAGCCCTGGTGAGTGGCCTTGTGGCAGGGGTGGGCCAGTGAGAGCCAGGAGGAGCTGGGTCCAGCCAGGACTGGCAGGGAGCTAATTACTGCTCAGGTTAGGCTCACTGTTTGCAAAATTAGTGATCAAAGGGATGTTATCGGTAAGGCTTGTGCAGCTCAAATTAGAACCTGTCCCACCTTAGTCCATGATGTTGCAACACTGTCCTGTGAAACCTCAATGAAACACAACAGCCGATGTGCTGATGGCAGAAGATGTGTGATGCTCAGTTGTGAAGGCTTGTTTCACTTACTGCTGAAAAGCTGCCAGTCTCCCTTCCTGGACTAGTATCTCCCTGGGGATCTGTAACACTGGTTTATGTATTGGCCTGAGTGCCTGTTGGCTTTGTCAGCGCAGAGCCCTCACGCTGCTTTGTTGTGTTCAGCTGGGGGAGAGCAGAAGTGGGTGAGGTGACATTGCCCAGACCTCTCTTTTGGGCAGCGCCCAGAGATGCAGGCAGCTCTACACTGAAATGAAGCTCTTGGTAGCAGACTGAGCATATCAAGCACTCAGTGCCCTGGCAGCACTTCTGAAAGCCAAACCCGGAGTGAATGACAAAGTGTTTTTCCGTTCCCTGGAAAGTGCATGCTCCCAAACTGCTTTCCTTGCTGCCCCTCTATTCACTGTGTGTGGAAGATTTGTTTATGTTAGGCTGTGTAAGAAATATCTACGTGTTATCTCAGAGCTAGGCAGATAAATCCTAGGGAAGATTTACTTGAGTGTAAATCAAAGGTTTTGTTTTCTTGGATAGTTCTTTAGCGTCTTGAGTTGAAATCCATCATGTTATCCCTGCAGCACTCCAGCATTTTAGGGGAATTTGGAAACTTTGCCATCTACCACAGTTTGTAACAAGACTGGAAGTAGTGAACATATTGCTGTCTTCTCTACTCCTAGAGCTTCTGCTCTGCTGTCTTCCATGAAACTTATTAATAATGTTTAAAGAGCTCTGAAGCCCAGATGAGAGCTGTGTAAATGAGACATAACCCAAATCCATGACAGGCACACCTAGCTGTGTGAACAGATTCTGTAGCAGCCCTGAGCTAAGCCTGTTTAACTGTATGCAACTGATGTGCTCAAGGATGTATTAAACCAGCTTTTCTGTATAGGAGTGGGAAAACATGCCCATGGCTGCTGTACTTTACTATATTTTCCAAAGTGTTTCAGGCAGGAGTTATAAGGACTTTGATTTAAATCAATGTAAAATGCAATTGTTCCTGAATTTCTTGCTGAAGTGCTAGATTTTCCTGCATTTTATCATTTACTTATAGGTACCAGACAGTGTGCTGTTCTGCTCCATCTGCACCTGACATTTGAGGAGGTTTTTGGGAGCCACAAGCTTCCTACATGCTCAGATTTCTTACCTGGGTAGAAAGAACAAGGAGCTGTTTCTTGTCCTCCTACCTTGTAGGTACATCTGTGGAGGTAATGCTTTAGAAATGGGTGATGCTTGCATCTCCAGCTTCTGCTTGTGAAATATGCCTGTAAGCAGAATATAGGTCTCAGTATATTCCCAGCTGGAGATGGGCAGTCCAAGAAATGCTGCCAGAACTCTGGAGATTCACCAGAACAGTATGGGTCTGGGTTATGTAGAGAGTTGAGCAGGATCAGTTCTGTGTGTTGACAGACAGTTTATGGTTTGTGTATAGCAGCTTGGCTTCCTGGGCTGATCGTTGTGTTCAGTGTGATTTGGAGGCATTCCTGTTGAGAAATTGAGTCCTGCCTCCAATGCTGCATCCATAGGGCAAGCTGTAGGCTTGCTGCTGTCTGCTTTTGCCAGCAACATGAGCACCTCTCAGGCAATCACACATAAGCAAGTCAAATCATTTTCAAGTATAACCAAATAGTTGGTAGTTGTTGGTGCAACCCTTCAGACTGAAAAGTGAAGTGGCCCTGAGGCTGAGCTCCGCATCTGGCTGTTGGGCTGGGGTGAAGCTGAGTGCACGGGGCTGGTCTGGAGGAGAGGGGAATTGAGACTCTCAGCCAAAGGTGCTAACTAGGATCACAGGGAAGGATGGAAAACCAGGTGCAGGATCAAGAGTGGTGTTTTCATGGTGTGATTCCAGCAACAGGGCAGAGAGCTTAAGAGATAAAAGGATAATTAGCTAGAGCCCCGGGTGTTGTTTGGTATGTGCCTTGTGTTAGGAAACCAGCATCTTTAAGGAAGAATCTTCCTTTGGGATTTAAATGCTGGGTTCAAATAGCAGTCAGGACAAGGAGAGGTTGTTTCCCATGTCACATCAAACTGGAAATGGCAAGATATCCAAACCAATTGGATTCTTGCACTGTCAGGTGCAGAAGGCTGAGAATTGCTAGCCAATACTTTCCTAAGCTGTTTAATTCAAGTTGCTAGTGTGTAAAGCTGCTGCCTTCATTTTTACTCAGAATCCCTAAGGATCACCTTCTCTTCCTTTTGGCTTGGGGATCATCAAAAGCAGAGCTCAAATGACCAGTCCTCTTGCACAGCACCTTTGAAATGAGGCAGCTTTCTCAGGATTTGTGCAGCTGCAGGCCACCAGACACTCACAGATTTTTTTTTTGTTCTGTCCATGTTTTGGGCTCCAGCATCAGAGCTGGACAGTATTGTTCCTGCACTGCTGCTGGAGGTTTTCTGTCTTGGTACTGATGCTGTCAAGGTTTCCTGTTGGCATGAGGCTCCAGCAATCAGCACGTGCCTTTGCATCACGAAGTATCCTGTCAGTGTATTGCTGGTGCTTACAAAGGATATAGCTTGCAGAAGTGAACTCATCAGGAGTTTAAGGTACCCTTTTCTATGCTGATGGGATTGTCCAGGGTTTTAATGTCTTCTAAGCTCCTTAACAAAATGAGTCTGCTGCTGCATTTGTCTCAATTGCACATAAGTATATTTGGGGGGCACTGTTAGTGTCCATTATCAGACAAATCTTCCAGGGAATTCCCTTTTCTGTGATGTAAGTCTGTCTCAGAAGTCAATAGCAATTCAGACAGCTCCTATGAGCAAGTTCAAATCAGTTAACTTCTGTTCAGATTGAGATATCTTTGGCAACTTTCTGGAAAGTCTGGATAAACAAGATGTCTAAAATCTGTTATGGAGACACTACTTTGTCAAAGTTTTCTTGGAAGCAAGTTAATTCTGGACAAGAAGCAGCTTTGAACTCATTAATTTAATATTTTAGTGTTAAATGGGGTGAAAATGTTTCCTATGCCAGAAGGAGTACAGAATCAGTTTTGCTCAGGGCAGAAATATATTTCTTTTGGTTCTACCTGAGACACGGACAGTGTGGCCATATGCCTACTTCAGTTTGTTACTGTTAAGGGATCCAGCATGTTATTACCTTATTTTGTTCTTCAGGGTTCATTCAGTTTCCACTGTGTACTAGGGGTGATAACTTCAGAGCCTTACATTCTGCTTTTCATGTTATTTTTCAGAGCCATTTTCTGTCCAGATCTCCCTGGCACAGCTCTGTGCTTTGTTTCTTTTCACCTAGTTCCAGGTAATCTCTAGCAGACATCAGATGAACAGAGCATTTCAGAATTCTGCCTTTTTGGAAAGGCCCTGCTATTACAATCTAATGTAAAATTCACTGCTCTGATCCAGTCTTCGCTTCCACAGGCTGATTCATCTGTTTCTGGAGTCACCTGCACAGATGCTGCTCCCCTGGATGCCCTCTTGCATGGTTATAAGACCTAAAAAAACTATTTGCATTTAAAACTGGATGATATGACATGGCCTGATGTTTTAGTTGTGTCAGTCTTAAAACCAGATTCCCATCTTGAACCTGCCAAAAACTGAAGAGGATAGATAGTATCCCAGCTGATGGCAGAGGCAGGAGGGGGCTGGGATAGAAAGCTTGCTGCTCTCTCCAGCACTTGTGATTAGCAGTGTTCATGAACAAATATCTGCAGCCTTTTTGCAGACCCTGTATGAGAAGCTGAGGATTTCATTAAATCTGCAATTCTTTGCATATCTACGACTGTGCAGAAGCAAACATGAGATTTCCAGGGATTCCCAGTTGTTGGAAGCATTTACTTCCAGGGTAAGATCCATTTGAAGGAAAAATGTCCTGTTGTCTGATACTTTGAATTCTGGGAAAGATGTAGTGCTTTGTAAATGTCCTAAACCACTTGTGAGACCCCCCTATAAGCAATTCCACTGCCAGGGCTAATCCACAGCCCCTGTCCCAGCCCCCATTTGAGTTTTGCTGGTCTTCCCTTTCCTTCTGGCTTTTTTAGCTAATCTCCTATTCAGCCTGTCTCTGTGTAGTTGTTGCTTTGGCCCATCTATTGATTTTTGATGTTAATTTCCCCAAAGCAGTGGGCAGAGCTTGAGTGTATAGAATTTTCTAGGGAATTTTAGAGCTCAAAAATTGCTGTCTTGAGACTCCTTTTTGAATGCCATGCTATTTGTTGTCCTCACTAGTGCTTTATCCCTTCCAGATGTTTTCTCAGACTTCTTCCCCTAGGAGGTGCTCTGAGATAATTTCCCAGTGTTGATAAACTGGTGAGTGTTTTCTGAGTTTGTTCCTGAAATCCTTGTTTAAACCACACCAGGAGAGCATGCTAGTTTTTTCGATGTTTTTCTGCTATAATCTAATACTTGACAGCTGAGACTCTCACCATGAACAGAATCTGTTCAGCTTAGTTATTTTGTAATCAAAGCCTGGGAAGGAGAAAAAAGAAAAAAACTCACTGGAAAGTGTTGAAGTTGCATCCTGGGCCTGCTAAAACAAAGAATAGTATAATGCATTTTTTAAACTGTAAATCTGAGCAAATATCCTTTCAGAATGTGCTCTGGGATTGATGCTTGGCAGAAGATCATGACTGAAGACAGGGATATATTTGGCCCCAGTTAGGATTTCCCTTCGTTTTGTAGCCAAGTGCAAAACCACCATCCAGCTGCATTACTAGATATAGCACTGACCTTTTTACCTTATTGGACTGTAGTTTGACTCTTAATTGAAATTGCTCTATAATTACACCTTATGTCCCAATGGATGCTTCTGTCTCATAAAACCAACACAGCATATTGGAACAATCTGCTTGCAAGTGATACAGAGCAGGCTAAGAGGAATGACTGCCTCTCATCTTCACTGGTGGTGGCTCCTCCTGGATGCTCTTCCATAGCAGCTCTGGAAGGAGATGTACACCTGGGTTTTAAATGGGTCAGGGAGGTCGTGGCTGGTTCCAGGGGAGTCAGTTCTTCACTTCAGCTGACTGTCCAGAACATTCCCATGAAATAAAAGCAAAGCCCCCAAGGCTGTTGGAAAAATTTCCTTGAGATCTTATGGCAGGAAGAAGTTGTCTGTGGAAATAGCATGGCCCTTCAAGCCTGCAGTGACACTACAACAGAGGGCATGTGCAGATAAACACCCCAATGCTGAGTGGCAGGAATGTGGGGCTTCCTGGCTCCAGCACTGGCATCTTTGTCCTGGCCATGTTTCAACCACGTAATAAGAAAAGTACTTGATTTCCATCAGCCTCACTGCTGCCTCCCTTGCAAAAACTTCCTGTGGGACAGTAGGTGCCAGCTGCATGTTTAGCTATACTCCCGATCAACTTCCAGGAGAATGGGGGCATAAATGTACTGCTAGGTTTAACATGTTCACTCTTGCCTCCTGTGGTTCCGATGCCTTCTTATTGAAATAAAATGCAGCTTTCACCAAAAGTCTCAGTGAACTTTGTGGCAAAGAATATAGTGGGATTTCTGTGGAAGATCACTTGCATTTGCTCTCTGTACCTTGATGTTCTGCCTAGGAAAGGGGATGCAGCAGTGTTTTTGTAATACTGATGGCTGCAGGCTGTGTCAGCAGGGAGTGGATGGGCTCTGGCTGATTTGGCAGTCAGGTGTGAGTAAGGTAATGCTTCCCACCTAATGAGCAAGATTAAGATGAGTATTAAAAAAGAGAAGCTTCTGTAGCTGAAATAATATCCGTAAAATACAACACAGAAATGCTATAGTAGTGAGCCAATTCTGCAGTTTAGTAGAGCTGAAGCAGTAGTCATTTGGCATGATGCATGCAAAAACTCAAGTCAATTATTCCTTCCTGAACTGTCCAAACTACCTTTAATGGTCTTGAGTAATGGCATATCTGTCAGTCTTGTCTGGACTACTCCTTGGTCGAGGATCTCTTTCTTCCTATCCATCTGTGTTCACTTTTGGTCAGATTCATCCAGTTTTACCTGCTCTGGGCCTTCTTTCTTTCACAGATTCTGCTTTATACATGCCTGAGAGCTGCACAAACAGCCTGTACCTCTCTAGGAAAGTTACCTGTCCCAGGAGGGATTTGCCAGTGCTGAAGATGGGTTATCCATCATGATCAAAATGTGTTATGGAGACAAGTGTGGAGTCCTGGGGACTTGCCTGAGAAGTTGGGTAATTGGTTGCATGTGAAGCTGCTTAATCACTGTCAACTTGTGTGTTGAGTGGATGAAAAGAGTCTTGTGGTGGTTTGGGGCTGTCTGGAGGGGATGTGCAGTGCTGCAGAGCAGTTGGAGTGATGCTGTTATGTTCAGTGTGAATTATGCTGGTTAAGTCATAGGAATATGGTGTAAAGACTGTATACATGTCCCAAAACACATGCACATGCTCAGGATGGCACGGGACTGAGGGACAGATAGGTAGACATTTGTCATTAGTGTTCATCTGGGGGGAGTGTGAATGAGCTATGAAGACCTCACATCAGGTGAGCACCTAAAACTAGGTGGAAGAAACTGGGCTTTGATTTCTCAGCATGGCAACTCTTGTCCTTTAGTTCTATCTGTAAATTGGGGTAATTTTACCCTACCCTCACAGGAGCATATTAAATTTAGTGTTTGGGGGGGCACTGAGACTGAACAGTGGTGAGCAGGATATGTGAAAGGAGGTGAAAGTAAGAGCGCTGTGCAGACAGCAAGGCTTAGGAGCCCATGCTGAGCAATGGAGTTTAAAAGAAAATAGTGAGAAGCTGTTAAATGAGTCCTGTCCTTCCTGTGTGCTGACTGAGGCTGGGATCTTGTGGAGCAATAGTCCATGAACTGTATTTTAATGCTAGCTACACTGGAAGCTTCTGTGTTATAATGGTGGTTTTGGCTTTCATTCAGTATAGCTCAAGTGGGGATGGGTATAAATACTGTTATGAGGCACATAAGGAGGATGCTGGGCACATGGGAGATGCAATTGAAGCTCTGTGCATGCTCACCCCTCTGAGCAGCTTTCCTCTTTAGCTGGGTTGCTGTGAGTATATTTCGTGAGCGCAGGGATAGTGACCAAGAGTAATCTTTGTAAGAAATGGCAAGCCTAGAATGATGGGTATTATCTTTGAAGAACTTGCGGAGCCTGATGGCAAACTGCCATTTTGCCAGTTGATGGAAATAATTTCCCTGAAACTATTTGCAACTACCTGGTAATCAGCTTTCTCCAGCTCATGTCATGACATCTGGAAATGCCCAAAGCCTGGCTATTAACAACTGGGTTTCAGCTCAGCAGGAGGACTTTGGGCTCTTGATTTGCTGATCAAAGAAGCAGGCAGATGCTGCTGCTGTTGGGTCTTCTGGTGTGAAATAGAGCATGCTTACATCTGAGGGCAGCATTGCTGTGTGGGGCACTCCACCTCCCAGCAGCCTACTATTCACCCTCCTGTGCATGAAAAGTAGGCTGTGTACACTTGTGAATCAAGCATGGATGGGTAGCTCCCCCCTTCCACTTGAGATTGTTTAGGTTTGGGGTTGTCCAAGGGGCTTAGGGAATGCAGCACTTGGCTCCCACAGTGGGCTGGTATCAAACATCCCTGCAGGCAGATTGAAAGCTCCAGGGAAAGCTTTCCTGTCCAGAGCATTAGCTTGATTTTTTTTTTTTTTGCTTTTTAGATGAGAGAAAGGAGTTCAGAAGTTTCAATGTTTAAGGAAAACCTATAGCAAAACCTGCCTGCCAAATTTAAGCACTACTTTGCCCAGAAGCTACCTGTTCAGTGCGGGACCATGTCCCCAGTAGAACCCCAGCCCCAGCTTGCACTGATGTGAACCCTTCCCATCTTCCCATTCCAGAGTGTCCTGGTGCTTGGCTGACCCTGTGCTGCTGCCCCCATAAACATTCTTTTTATCAAGTAGTGAGGCTTAAAACAAAATCCAAGATTCCCATTTCCTTTCCTGAACACTTACTCTGGACAAAGCATCCTACACATTAAGAGGTAGGATGAAAATCACAAGACTTTGACACCAAAGAATTCTTCTCAAGTTTGGCCCAAGCTTCAGGTTTTTGAGAAATAATTTTCATTGGTTGTCCTAGGGGAGTGCTTCTAAACAAATATGTTTTACACTGTTTACAATAAGATGGAGTAGCCAGAAAATCTGAAACCAGAGAAGAAATTGGTCAGTGTCTTTGCCAATGGAGAAGTTCAAGTAAATAAAGAGCATCTGTTATGAAAACATCTTTTGAGAGGTGTTGTCCAGTCCAGGCTCTCGAAGGCTATTAGCACCAGTGTTGAGAACTCCTGGCTTATCCTTAGTTTGTTTCAACTTGTTCACATGCATTGAAGTGAGAAATGGACAGTTTCACAAAGCCTTTTATTCATTGCTATACATGTTTCATATTACAGCTTTCTGTACAGACAATTACTTTGTCTTGATGTTACTGCTTTTTGTTTGCTAATAGTCAGAGTTTGCCAAAAATTGATGCCTTTCTGGGGCCTTTGCTGCAGACTGTTGTTTTCTTTGTAATTACCACTGATTCAGCACAGCTCTTCTAATTTTTTGTATATCAGACCAGCTTTTGACTTTAGGGGTATGCCCTTACATTTACCTTGAAGTCTGCAGTTTACTGGATTGTGGCCTAATCTGGGAATGATCTTCAACACAGGTGGTTCTGAATAATTAAGATATCATTTGTCAGTCACCAAATGAAGTACTAGCCTGTTCAGGGTTACATCTCAGCAGTGTTGATGCCTGTAGCTTTCTGAGGCATTCAGCTCCCCACAGGACCAGCTCTGAGCACAAGCACTTGCTTATCAGGCAGCCTTCTCACTGGCATGGATGTGAACTTCTCTTGAGACTTGGAGCCTGTCCCAGAAAGATTCATATGGACAATGGGGATGTGTTAATCTGTGAACAATTGGTCTGGTAAAACCAGATTAGGCTCCCAGACAGCTCTTCTGTTCATTGTTCAGCCACATGGCATTCAGCATGTGCAACCACAACTGGTGATTTAAATGTTCATTTGCCTTGTAATGAGCATGCCACTTACCTTCAGAGAGATTCACTTTTTTTTTATAATTTTACTAGCTCTCAAGATTTCTGAAATGTAGGAAACTCACTTTAAAATGTTTTTCATTCCATGCTCAAGACAGAAGAGCCTTTTAGCCTTGCGATGAAGATGCCATTGCATTATTTGAAATTGTTTTCTACTTTTATGTGGTTAATACTACTTTACAAGACAGTATGGAAAATTCAGAGGTCATGTTGCTGCTAAGTCAGCACATTAAGTGCATGTTAAGATGTGCATTTAGCGCATGGGGAATATGAGTTCTGCATAACCATCGTGCCAAAAGGAGACGGTAAATCCTTCAGAGCAGGGAGAAGTTCTGGTTTAGAAATAAATACAGCAAAAGCTTTCTATATTACTATGTGCTTCATGCTTTACCATAGTAAACAATTTACTTTATAAGCAATAGGCATATGCTCAGAGAACTCCCCTTCCTCAGTCCGAGTTTCCATCACTGCAGGCAATGTACTCCACCTTCCTGCATGTAGAAGGGGGGAAAAGATGGTGAAAAGGGGGAGGTATCTCTGCTCTTTTCCAATTGCTTCTTGCAAATGCAATGCTAAACATTGTCAGTGTGCAGGAGGACAGTTCTGGGAGTACAGCAACCCATCAGAAAATCCTGTTAGAAGTTTTCCACCAAAACTCATCAAGTTTCCCAAGAAGCCTGTAGGAGGGTCTGGCAGGCAGGTAACAAAGATGATTCCTAGCAAAAAGGTTTATAATACCGGCAAATGGGAGTTTTGAAGCTAATCACCAACATCTTGGTTTATGACCTGACTATGGACTTCAAATGTATGCAAAAATAACAAAAACCTCCCTTTGCTGGCAGGAATTCCTCAACTTCTTTAGAAATGTCTCTGTTCTGCATACTTATCTACTGTATCTTGGATAAGACTTTTCTTATCACCTTGCCTTACATGGTGTGGAAGCAGGAGAGCTGCATCCTTGGGAACACTTTTTCTGTCCTTCTGAGATCATTGCAGAAATATAAGTGCATTTTTGTATTATGGCTGAATTCTCCGTGTGAAAGTGATTGGGCATTTCACTAGCTTAACTATTGTGGAAAATCAATATATGTGTATGTTTTATGCTGGCTAGCTTGATAAGATATCTTCCATTTTATAAACCTGATCTCCTTGGACCATTGTTAATTGTATGTGGCATGTTAATTGTTTCATAGTTCTGACTGAGCTTTCTGCTTTGGGTTGTGTATGGGGTCTACCTGGGTAGCTGTAATACAATTTAAGCTGTTTGTCCTCACTGTGAGCCTTCAATGGATCAGAGGTTTACTGGCAAGTATCCAACACTCAGAAAACATCAATGCAAATGAAAGGAGTTCTGCATAACTCCAGAAAATACTTAATTTAGTAAGTCTGGCCACCAAATTCTTGGCTCTTCTTCTATGGCTGCATGCTTTTCAATCATACTGAACTGTGGAGGGTGTTGGGGGAGAAACTACAGCAGCCAGACTGCAGAATGGCCACTAGTCTTCAAAGAAGGGAAGATATAAGCTGCTTCCAAATTTTCTTCACATCTAAGTCTGTGAATGGTCTCCTTGTCCTCTCCAGGGGCATTTTAGGAACTTATGACCAGTGACCGAGGACTTTTCTGTAAAACCCAAAGTGGCGTACTGACAGCCTTGACTAGTACAAGTTTATTGGACTAGCCATATAACAATGCTCTGGAAATTCCTTTCAACAACAACATGTTGTGGTCTATATGATATTGCTGACAGAATATCCAGAGGTCTTGGTCAGTTGGGAAATGATTAAGATTTTTTTTAAAGGTGTTTTTTTATGTTGGTTGTTCTCAAATGAAACACAGATGCAAGACTGCTTGAGCTATAAATCTGGCCTCAATCATTCATTTCAACATCATACTGTGCAGAACGGCCTCCACTTAAGTCATTTCCAAATGACTGAACTTCACATTTTATTCTGTTATTGTCATCAACCTCAGCAGATGTCATAATCAAGGAAGAGCCACTAATGAGAAGCTGCTGGTAAATTTGACATGTCTCAGTCACTTCCATGTGAATACCTGGAGAGCAGACTGCATCTACAACTGCCCACATGAATCAAAAACAAAACTAAGAGTGAGTGGGTACGTTAGCTGCTCTTTCAGACTGCTCTGTGTAATCAATGTAGCCTAGTCAGGATATAGGCAGGAGACAACCTGACTCATGGAAAAGGTGAACCTTTTGGGCCAGATGACCTCCTGACGCGAGGTCCTTTCCAATGTTAACCATTCCAGGTTTATGATTCCACAATTACACTGCAACTAGAGCTGGAGAGATACTTCTTACACTAAACTGACTATGCTGAGCAGTGATCATCTTATAACCCAACTTCAGTCTAAGATATTTTTCATACAACTCAGTACATCATTGAGTAGTATAAAGTATGAATATCTTGCTGCTCCATTAGATCTTTTCTTTTAAAATGTTTATCAACTTGACAAGAGATTGTTCTCTTGCTGTAAGTGGTGCAGTCACTGGCTGTTTCCACTAAATTTTTACACAGCAGGCATTTTCCAGATACTGACATGGCTAAACACACTTGTGTCTGCATGTTTCCTAACAGATTTTTCTCACTGATTGAATTTGAGTAAAGCAATGAAGAGATAGTAAGGAAATGTGTACAACATTTCTCTTGATCCATGTTTTCATCCCAGCTGTTCTTCTAATAGTGATGTCTGAGAGAATTTTGGACATGTCACTGTTGAATCAACTGTGACCTCCAGTGAATGACAGCCCATGCCTGATATGCAGAGCCAAACTTTTTCAGGCTAAGGGCTGTCCTTAGCCTCCTTCCAAAGTGCAGGTTCCCTCTGTTTGGATCCTTGTAATGGAAAAAGCCAAGATCGAGGTCTGAACAGGCAAATATTTTGGACCAAAGTATAATTCAAGGACCCATTGTACTTTATGATCATATGGGGAGGTAGTTGTGAAACTGAAAGCTGTTTGCAAACAATTTACTGAACCATGAACCAGAGGCTAAATTACCATCTGGCCCCTTTGTGCAGCTTCCCCTTTCTGCTGGTCTGCAAGTTCTTGCACATGGGAAGATTTACGTTGTTGATGGAGAGTGATTTTTGAGCCTGTGGCCAATGCTAATTTTGTGAGGAAATAAATTTTGGGTTTTGTTTCACTCTCAAATGAAGGTAATGTATTAAAGTCAAGTAAGGTCACACAATCACAAACCACGCCATGTGCCACAAAAAAAAAAAAGGCAGGCACAAAGCCTCAGCATTAAATTACTTGCACTGGGTAGCCAGTGTTAAGAGCAGTTTGGCAATCACCTGGTGCTCTGGTCCCTTGGGAGAAGTTACACTGGGCTCTATTAAAGTAAGAAGGATAAATCCCTAAAATCCACCCAGAGGAAGCTTGTAAACAGGGAAGTGAATGGTTGAAAAAATGCTAAAAAGCTGTTCACCAGTTCTAACTATTTAACTGACACTGCAGCAGGAGAAGATGATTGGATGTGTTAGAAGTCTGGATTGAATCCAGACCTCTGGGATGATTTTCTGTGATGGTTTTTGATTAATTATAAGAACCACATGAAAAAAGGCACAAACTTCACCCTGTTCTGTTTAAATTTTTTCCCCAGTGTGTAAGTCCTTCTTTAAAGGTTGCCCTCTGATACGTAACACATCCTGTGTCATTTTGCTAAGCTATGACTCTAAGAAGTGGCTGAAATTTACAGCTTTGGTTAGTCATAGGCTCTAGAAGTGTTTATTTTTCTCAGTTGCTCTTGCTGTGTAATGAATGTAACTCTGAGTATTCTCAGACTCTAGCCCTGGACTCTGGCAGCCTGATTCTTTCCAAGAAATAGCACATCAGTTACACTGTGCTGGTAACATGAATTAGGTCCTTCTGCTTATTACGGAACAATAATTTGCAGACTGAGGAGGAGAGGCTAGAACCAAAGTCACACAAGGTCATTTCTGGCTAAACTGAAAATAAACCCATGTTTTAAAGGCAACTTGAGAAAATTGCAGCCACTTATCTGTATTGGCTTGCAGAAAGGAGCTGTCTGCCTGTTTGAATGCGGTGGTTGCAAAATGGGAGGTTCCTTTTCCATAAGCAAGTCATTTGTTTCAGTGAGTTAAAATTCCCTCTCTGAATAAAGATCTGTGACTGCTGGCAGTCACTGTGATTAGTACCACGTTTCACACAGCTCAGTGTTTCTTGTGGACATGGGGCTGCTGTGCATGAAGGATCGTGGATCCTTGGGAGATTTTAGAGGCATTTATTTTCTGTGAGAAAACTGAATGTGGTTTGTGGGAAGAGGAAAAGCCTCCATTAATACAAGACACATGTTTGGTAAATGACTAATACAGCAATTAAATTCCAATTAACTGTGCTTCTGTTTATCTAGACTGATTAGCAAGTGTTTACTGCAAAGTATTCAGTTCACTTTACGCTCCCATCATGTTCTAGATGATAGCTGGGTGGTGAAGACTTGTTTCAAACCCTGTGGAGCCTTTTCCTGGGGAGGAGTGAAGCTGAGGCACTATGCCCTGGCTTCTTGCTGTGTGCTGGGCTCCCTGCTTGCTGCCCCAGCACCTGCAGGCAGCACAGCTCTCACTGCAGGAGCTGGTATTTTTGCCAGCCTTGTGCTGTTGGAGCTGAAGCTTCTTGTGCTGCTGCCTTCCTCAGACTAATGTACGCATTTTCCTTAATAAAATGTGGAATCCTGCTGTTCTGCCTGTGTTCAGGGGTGACAGGTGACTCGTTCACTGGGAGATAATTTGCTCACCTTGTCATTGTTCTTTGATATTTTCAGTCTGGACAGTGGTTCATCAGCCTCTTTTGGCTGCCCACAGCATTACCTTACAGGCTTCCTTTGCAGCAAAGTTTCACAGAAGGGGCTTGAAACCACCTGCTGCTAGGGCAGGTGGGGCTTGGTGGTGGCCTGAGCTGAAGACTATGTGCTGCACCAACCCTGGTGCACATGCTGGGTAATGGGATTTACTAGGAATTTGGTGCCCTGTGAAAGTGTAAGTTACTTCCTTCTAAAAACCCTCTAAAAATATCCTTTGGGGAGCTTTACTGAACACAAAATTATAGCTCTTAGGAGCCTGCTGCTTGAGTTAAAATATAAAACTTTCCTATTCCCCCCAGGCTGCTTGGCACCCAGGTGGTGATGCAGTATACAAGATACACTCCCCTTGCCCAGAAACTGAATATATATATATATATGTATATTTCATTCAGCAGAATGGAAAAGAAAAACAGAGAATGAAGGTATTAGGGACTCGTATGCTGTTGTGTGAACAATTACTTGGCATTGGAGCAAAGCCTAGTAACCCCATCAACTCTGATTCACAACTGGAAAGCAAGCAGGAGGGTCAAGTTCATTACATGGGGAATTCAGCTCAAGTGTCAGCTTCAATCCAGTAGGGAGATGCTGAGGAAGAGTGAAGGCAATGTAATTAGCTCCAAGTAGTAGAAGTTACCATCCAGTTAGAGGAGAGAGCTCATAACTTCCTACAATGAACTGAAGTAAGGCTGGAGCTGAAATAGGGAGGAAATCGGGGGTGGAGGATTTTCTGGCTTATGAGGTTTTATGAACCTTGCAAACTGTTTTATGGGTCCGAACTTTTTTTGTTGTTGTAATTTAAACCCTTTTCTTTCCAGAGCCATTCAGGTTACTAATAAAAATAATGTCAAGCAATGAATTAAAGCCCAAGCTCTCCTGCAAAGAATAGAACATCCTATCAACCTCTGAGCAACAGAAAGCACATGCACTACCTTTATTCACTGGTTGGTGTGCTGGCTGCAATGTTTGTAGTCACACCCTTATTTTCAGTAGCTTTCATTCTTTTCATTTTCTTTATTCTTTTTTTTTTTTTTTTAACTTGGGTTTTCTAAGGAAACAAATGTTATGAAACTCTTCCCTTTGTACCTGCATGAGTTTCCTTTGATCTCCTCTATCCAATCCATTTTACTGTGGCAACTAATTTAATCTAAATTTACATTTTCTTTTAGAGGTAAATGTACTCCAGTATATTTTGTGAAAGTGTTAAGAGAGAGGGGAGAAGACCTCGCTAATGATTCCAGTGAAGGTAAAGATCTTTAGGGAACTAAATTGACAAAGCTTTATAAACTTACAGCACCCTTACACACACACACAAAAAAAAAAGGGGGGGGGAGAGGGTTGTGAAGAGGGCTCAGAGGAGACTCCATGATTCAATTTCATGAGAAACTTGTAACTACAGCAACTGAAGTCTGTAGGAAATTCAGTGTTAGC